AGATATTAGATACATACATGTATAAACTGAAAACCCAAAAAAGATTTGAACTTTACATACCCTTTTCAAGAATGGAATTAGGTAAAACCCCAGAAAGTGAATCCAAGAATGAGAGGCGCAAAGAAGAGAAAGAGAACTGTGAGGGTTTTGAGTTTTGAGGTTAAAGTGTTGAACTAATGTGTACATGTCTCTCCAAATAATAATAAATATTTCTTCACTTTCAATTTATTTCTTTGATTTTTTTTATATATAGAATATATCAAAATATTTTATTATATTATGATTTTAAATAAGTAATAAATTACAATAACAAATATAATTTTACTAGTTTACACCTTAATAATTTATTTTGAGAACTTTAGAAACTTAATACACTTTTAAAAAGAATTAATAGTAAGATGTAAATGGGAAAAAATGTAATTAATGTGTTAATATTTTGATTTTGTAAATTGATAAGTAATTTGAGACAATTATTTTTTATAATGTGGACAATTAATATGGTACGAAGAGAATAGAAACTTGAAATTAAAGATCTATTTCAAAGAAAGAGACATTATTGTTTAAATGAACTAAAAAAAAAGTAAGACAAATAAATTAAAATAGAGGAAATACTTAGTATTGAAGAGTTTTAAAAAATAAAAAACTTCCATTGGAATTTTCTACATATTATTTAATTATTTTGTATTAATTTTGTAAAAAAAAAACCTAAGTGCTATAGAAAATAAGGATACACGTGTAAATTTATACTATAAATTATAGGGTGTCAAATGTACCGTCATGGCACTTTCAACCACCCAAGTTGGATGTGGTTGTACAAACATGTATGTCCCGTGTGTGTATATTTTTATTTTTATACAAAAATAACTTTTTTATTTTTTAATAAACTTCTTATTTTCTTTAGGAAAACATAATGAGCCTCTCTACCTACAGTTTGTCTAATTACTTAGTGTACTTATAGTTACAATAATTGTTGTATATCTTTGGAAATTTATTGTTTATACAAATTAGATTCTTAACTTAATTAATGAGGCGGTAATTTAGGTTATTAAAAGAAAAAATAATTCCACAAATAGGAGATGTAGATCTCATATAGGTTGGGTTTAAGTTGGTAAAGTAGCTTTGATATTGCCCGATCGAGTCAGTACATGAGGCCATTGAGAAAGTTTGACCTATTAGAGATAGGTTGAAGACAACCCAAAGTAGAAAAAATCTTTATGTTGATGTAAGGAGAAGAGAGCTTGAATCTGGAATAAGTGTTTAGGTTTGTCTGAAGCTTTCACCTGTAAAAGGGGTGATTAAGTTTGAAAAGAAAGGAAAGTTTAGTTCCTGTTATGTAGGTCATTATCAAATTATGAGGCATTTTGATATTGTGGCTTATGAGTTGGATTGTCTTCAGATTTAGCATCAGTGCATCCAGTGTTTTATGTCCTCTTATTGAAGAAATGCATTGGTGATCCGACTTCAGTTGTGTCTTTAGAGAGTGTCAATGTGAAGAAAAGTCTCTCTTACAAAGAGGTCTAGTTCATATTCTTGTAGGTTTGTAAGTTGAGAAATAAATAAGTTAATTCAGTGAAAGTTCTTTGGAGGAACCAATCAATTGAGGGTGTTACTTGGGAAGTCGAAACATATAAGATGACTAAGTACCCCCATTTTTCCCTTCTGATTCACTTTCAATGTGAGGTAATAGTTCCTTTGTGGTATATCCTTTCAGATTTATGTCTTTCACTTATTTTCATGTCTTAGCATGCATAAATGTTTATAAAATCAACTTAATCTTCATGTTTTAGTTTGGAGTCAGTCACTCATTAATTTTTAGTGTTTAGCTTTCAGTATTAAATTGCAGATCTTTCTTTACTATTTTCAACCTAGTTAACTCCACTCGGGGACGAATGTTTTCAATGGAGAGATATTGTGACACCCCACAAGTTCCTTGTTTAGACCAAAGGTTTTACAGTTCAGAAAGTACAGATATGCAGAATTTTTTTAAATTTTATGAACATTATCTATGGGTCGTAAATGAAACCACGAGTCGTAGATGAGTTTCGTAGGTGAGACTACAAAAACAAGAATTTAAGTCTGGAATTTACGAGTTGAGTTTATAGCTAGTAAACCCGTTTATGGGTTTTAGACACGAATGATAGAATAACTTTAGAAACTTGAAAAAGTGACTTGATCAGGACGAAAACGTTTTACGGATCGTAGATGGTTTGAGTCGTGCAAGGTCTCACAAACCAAAGTCCTGAAACTTCAGAGCTCAATAATATCATTGACTTTTACAAAGCCTATGTAAGAGTCATATTTGAAACTACGGTCCGTAGTAAAGGGTTTTGTAGGCCAAACCTCAGAGACTATGCATTTCAGTATATTCCTTTTAAGATTAGACAATATGGATTATATAATGAACTACGGGTCGTGATTTGAATTCGTAGTTTGAAATATCATAAACTCAGTTTTCAACATGTCTTCTATGAGTGGGGATCTACAATTCGCAGAAGGAATTACGGTCTGTAGATGCTCTTGTGGATAACCTCCGACAATTTTTAATGAGGGTCGTTTAGTCTTTTGCTACTCTTTTAATTTCTATACTACGTTGTTTTGACCTATTCTAAATGAGATTAAGAAATTCTTATCAGTCTAACTCTCACTTGTGCTCATAACTTCCCCAAAAACAATTTATTTTCTCTTAAGGCAAGAACAAGGGATCTTAGCTTAGCCTTCTTTTCAAGATTCAATTTAGGGTTTCTACTCCAAGTATGTGAGATTTCATCAATGGATATTCCTTTACTCATTAAATCCCAAAAATAAATCCTCAATCTTTTAAGTTTATGATTTCTACAAACCTAGGATTTTTATGATCTTCATTGAATCTTGATGAATTTCAGTTCTTCTTCATGATTAACATTCAATTGCACGACTTTAATTATAATTTCATGTTGCCTCAGATGATTAGATTATCATGATTTCAATGCTTTCAAATAAAGTATCTCTCAAATTATTTTTAGTTATTAAGATCTATACGTTACTCAATTTTTACCAGTATGATTAGATTATCATTGCTTCTGGTTTATATGCATGTTTCCATGAGAGTTATACTTAGCACCGAGCAGCTTTAGGAACGAAATATTTTGGTCGACGTCTGTGGACCTTTAATAATAAATTCCTAAATTTAAAAATTATGTGTCATCATAGAATTAGTCTTTATAGATTTTAGCTTAGTGAATCCACATTAGCTCAGCTCGGGTCCCATATCTTGGGAAGTATTGGACACCCTCTTTTTGGTATGGGAAAGCACATTGAACTTCATGTAGTAGCGCACATAGTTTTTGTCGGTGTTAGTATCTCCCATAATCAGAATTTCAGTTATTGCATTATCTTGTACTTATGTATTTCAGTTCAGTATAAACTTATTGTATGTGGTCATGCATCAATATGTTTTATAGATTCATCACGTTAAGTTGTCATGTATTATCTTACATACTTAGTTCATTTAAAGTACTAACAACATACTTTTTGCTATGTTGTTTGATAATATAGGTTTTGACGCTGAGTATCCAGTTCGCAATTAGTATTACTTTTGATCAGTGAGCAACAATATTAATGAGTCCTCATCAATTTGAGGACAACCCTTATCTTTCTTTTCAATCTTTTCTTTCAATTTTCAGATAATCGGAGTTAGCTAGGGGTTTGTCCTAATAACTCAATTAGTAAAGGCTTTCAAATAGTTAGATATAGATTTCACTAATGTTATTTCTTTCAGATATTAGTCTATCTTATTATTATGGAATTTACACACATATTTCAAATTTAGCTTTTGCGTTTATATTCCAAATTCTCTATTGATTTATGTTAATTAGTGTCATGTCATGAAGTTAGCTTGGGCTCACCTATAACTCTAAAAATCGTGTTACGTTTAGGGAGTAGTCTCGAAGCGTGACAATTAGAGCTATCAAAATGGGCTTGGCTCGTTAAGTCGGCCCAACCCAAGCCTTAAATTAAGTGGTATTGGGCCTAATTTTTTCGGCCCATTTAGCAATGAGGCTTTTTAGCCCAGCCTCTTTTGGCTAGCTAGTCTCATAGGCCCAGCCTTTGAGTCCAATCCGTGGGCTATGAATGTTAAGAATATTTATTATATATATATTTCAGTAGTATTTTATTTGTAAAGAGTTTGTCAATAAATATTTAAAAAATATAAAATCAAGTCTAACTCATTTGCAAATTTTTTATATTTTAGGGCTATTAACCCACTAAAATCAAGTCTACTTTTGTTTTTATGTCTAATTTTTCATTTCCCCTTTGTTGTCTTATTTATAAAAAAAGTGATCATGTAATATTTTTTTGCTTGAATGAATCTTACGATGTTGTATCTTGGCTGTTATGTTGGCTATTATGTATTTTTGTAAGTATTCACTGAAGTGTGTAATCATAAATGAATTTTTGTATGTAATCGTGTCGTGTTCATCAAACATCAAAGTTCCATACTCTTAGATACTCTTTCTAAGACACCAATGTTATTCATTTTTTGGTTGAAGGGTCGACTCGTCCAAACTCATGCCGCACTTAGGGCTGGGTTTAGCTGTTATTTTATAGGTCCTTTAATTAAAAGGATCAGCCCGTCCTAACTCCTAACCCATTTAACTTTTTAGCCCGTTAGATTGAGTTGGGTTGGGTTGGGCCAGCCCATTTTGACAACTCTAGTAACAATTCACAATAATTAATTACTCATTACTGATAAATTTCATCTAGTATATTAGTCAACTTACCTATTTTAACTTAAATTTTAAATTTATTTATGTTACCATAAAATTAGATTTTGAATATAAAATTAAATATAATTTTCCTATTATACTTTCAATATGAAGAAAAGATTGCTTTTATTGCGATATTTGGCTAGTAATTTAATGACCAAGCTGAAATTTATGTATATAAATACTCATGATATTTCATTCATTTTACACATATTTTTGAAAATAATTGATCAATAATATTTATTATATTCTAGCATGGAGCAGAAGAATTCAACAGGACTCCAAAATATTCCATTGGCGAAATTAGATAATGAAGATACTCGATACTCCTCATTCTCTAAACGAAGTTCTGGCTTATACAAAAACGCTAGTGAACTTGTTAGAGAATGTGATGTCGATCTTGGAATTGCTATTTCTTCATCAACAGGTATATCGTATTCCTTTATTCCTCAGACCATTAATGCAGTCATCGAACATTTCTAAATTCTATAACAGAAATACAGAATTAAGTGCAGGTGAACAACTTGTTGTTGTAGAAGCACGTAACAAAGTCTGCCAATATGATGATATGATTAAGGAATTTGATATAATTGAAAAAATTACCAATAAAAAAATACGCTTGTCAGACCAAATAAATGAGGGTTGGTGGGAGTCCATAGACCGATTCAGTATAGATGATACAATGAGGTTTGAAGCTTGGTTAACTTTCGGTGAATTCACCAAAAGTTAACCAAGCTTCAAACCTCATTGTATCATCTATACTGAATCGGTCTATGGACTCCCACCAATCCATATCTCTAGCCTCATTCATTTGGTCTGACAAACGTGTTTCTTCATTGGCAATCTTTTCTCTTATATCAAATGCATTGATCATATCATTCCTGTCAATAGATATCATTCCAAAGTACATAAATTACATATCATCATTGAAACAAAACAACAAATATCAATTTTGTTATTTGTTTTTTGTTTCAATGATGATATGTAATTCATGTCTTTGCAATGATATCTATTGAAGGTAATTATATTTATGACTATTTGTTGTCCCCCAACATGTTAGATATCTTAATATTGTATAGTATGAATTTAAATTATACGCATCGCAATATATCGATCTCTCAATTTGTTTAAGACTATATTTGAAGCACATCATATCAATATGTTTACTTGAAAAAACAGAGCAAGAGATGTGTGTAACTGTAACATAACAAACTAAAACAACTGCTGGCATTTTCGTGAGATCAAAGGGCAATATTAGTTTATAAATAGACCATACACAACTTACAAATTGATCTCTAAATCTAGGTGTAGTAGACAGATGAAACATTGCTCTGTAGGTAGATATATTTCCCAAAGCTAGTCGTAAATACGTGTTACCTTCGAATTTCATGGCACATGAACTCTTTCCAACACTACCCTATGATGGGATGTTAAAGTGGAAGAGCCAAGAGATGACAAACGCGAATACCATACAAGCTAAGAGGAAATTCAAGAATCGATGGCCATTCAAACAAGTTCGAGCTTCTGAAGCTGCTGATACTGGTGCAGATGCTGCACTTGTAGCCACTGCGCTTGATTCATTTGTTTGCTGTGCTGATTCAACATCATTTGGCCCAATGACGTTGCGTGCAAGAGAATTGCATATTTCACAAGTCCTGGAAAAACAACTTCAAATGTTAAAAAGGGTCACAAAATAACTAGGAGTATTACAATTTTATAAAAGAGCTTGTATGGGAAAGGGTGGGAGTTTCTGAGTAATTTTACCATATTGGAAAAACATGAAACCAAGTGGAATATGTAAAAGAACAAGAGTGAAAAGAATTCCAATGTTTACACAAGTCACACAGAAGCATACAAATGTTGTGTTTTTTTGTCAGAAGAAACTTATCCCATGGAACATACAGGAACTAACTTTGAATAATTAGGACTGCGATAAGATAATGGTGTCCTGTCCAAGTTTGTGATCTTTAATACTTTCACGAATTCTACAAGACGTATGTGCATATAACTGGAGATACCTAGCATACTAAGCTAACTATTTTGGAAGACATCCTTGTCTGACTAGGTTTTCTGATTACTGAAAGAGGAGAATTTGTAACTTCTCGCAAAAGACAAACTCTACAATTCTGTGGTTCCACAAGAGCTATTCACAAAGTTGATCAGAAATATTACAGAAATGCAGTTACCAGACAAATCATTTTGCCACCAGAAAGAAAAACTATAACAAACAGGTTAATAGTCAAATCTAATTATTAATTTACAACCATATTGAGGAGGAATGACAAGAAAAAAAACAACACTAGTAAGACAGTGACAAACTAACACATATGTTGACAATGAGTCAGCAAATATTGGGTCATAAGAGATGATAATAGTTCTGTAATGTGGAATTGGACAGATCTCCCGAGATACTTTTCATAACTTGATTTGTTTCTTTTTCCCTTTTTTGGTTTTGGGGAGGTTTGGGATGGGGGGAATGCTACAAAATACAGGTCAGGAAAAGTAAACCAGCTTCTCCAGTGGAAGTAGTAAGTTGCAAGGTAAATCATATCAGTCAACAGTAGAGGGAGTATTCAACACATGTGTAGGTGTATGCAGATATTGATATAGGACGACGACTATTTCTGTAAGTTAGTATGTCTATACGTACTTAAATTCACTTATGAACACTTCAAAAGTATCATATTTCAGTAAGATCTCGCTTATACAGATCAATCAGTACTTGATCAACTTTATGGATGGGAAATTAACGATACTACAGTGCCAGAAAACCATGGAATGAAGTCACTAAACTGTTACGGACAATTGAACGTTAAGACAAATTTTACACTTGGGTTTTGGGGATTGCTTATACTACCTTGGTCCATTGGAATAGTGAACATTTGGTTCCCTGGCTTAACAGTTGAATAATATTCACAATCGCAAAACAATTTCAAGACGAACATCAAAAGAAACAGAACAGATCATAGTGAGATTCTTTACTTTTTCCTCCTTTGCCGTAAAACTAGAACTGAAGGAGAATTTGATAATCATCCTTATCTTCAAAAGAAGCATCTTTATAGGGAAAAGCAAACAAGCAGTTCATTATGCACATTTCAGTTGTTCTGATCCTCCACCTCCCCCGCGAGGTTGCACCACCAAGTGCACACATGCGCGCACACACACAGAGATTCTAACTGTTAATACCACCATACTATTTTCTGTTATAGATAACTTATGTTTGATTCTACAGGAAGTCTAACAAATCAAAATTCAGTTTTGTAGATTCCAACAATTAAATTTCAATCTTCTTTACCACAATGATATATCCAAGATGTCCAAAACAATGTAGCACATTTACAAGATTGTATGCTTTTTATTTCCATTTGATCTTTTCAATTACTTGGTCATACACTTCTTAAAAGATCAAAAGACTCATTGATGAAAGTTTCTCTCTGAAAATGACACTAGAATCTTGACTGTGCACACATCAGAGGTCATTGTCATAGAATTGATAATCAAAGTAAAGATCTACAGTATCTAAGTAATAGAATATGCAGAGTGGAGGCCAGCAACAGATTACTTCATATTGAGGGGAAAATAAAAGGTACGATTACTTAATCCACTAAGGTCAAATCTTCACTTTGATAAAAGAAAAGTGCATACCAAATATCAGAAAGAGTTTAGAAACTAAAGAACATTTAAGGGCATAGTACGAAGAATTGTCGGTGTAATTAGAATACATCCTAATTCTTTCCAAAAAGTCATTAAAATTCCTAATGATACTTGTCAAGCAACCATTGCTTTAGTCTCTCACTTTTCTTTCTATTTTATTCCATTGAGACTTTTCCTTTTTTTTCCCATAAAATACATCATGTTATCTCTTTCCCAAGAGAACAGACATCACAGACCAAACTTTTACGTTACCCTACAAAAAAAAGGGTTATTCTGACAGATCATGTACTGCCAATATGAATAAAAAAATCAAACACTTCCAACGGAAGATTCAACAAATCATTGTCATTGCAAACCACTATTACGTGCAAAATTGTTGAGATCCTAGTTCAAATCACAACGGAGACAGAAAACACTAGGTGATTTCTACCTATCTGTGCTAGCTTTGGTGGACCTGATACTTGTAGTGGGAGATGGCAGCTGCAAGCATCTCGTGGAATTAGTCAAGGGCCAGCTTAGGACAGAGTTATCTGGTAACAATTGCTTGGTGGGGACACGTATCCCATGGAATTAGTCAAAGCATGCATAAGCTGGCCCGGACACCACGACCATAAAACTAAACAACAATTTGTTTCCAGATGGTAACATTACCACTTAAGCATCTAGATTGATCACATAGACAAATCTAATATATCCAAATTCAGAAACCACAAACTAAAATCAGTCAGAAATTTGAAACATAAACTAAGGCTTTGCTATACTTACTTATTTCCTTTGATTTTGAACCATGCCTCAGCACAATGCCTATGTGCAACAGCCAAATCATTTTTACAAGAACATCCTAATTCAATAGCAAAACCAGATTCAGGACCAGAACTCACCAAACTCAGATGACAAATCCTACAATCTCTTTCAATTGTCCCAACATGAAACTTTGTTTCACCAATTCCATTTTCCAAATCCACTGATCTATCAGACTCAGCCACAGATGAAACTCTCCTTGACACCTCCATAACTTCCCCTATTTCAGACTCAGTAGCACAAGCAAAACTATAATCATCATAATTTGACCCATCAGCAGTTGAATAAAACTGAGAATAACAAGAACCCTCATCAGCATCAGAGAAACAGACACTACTACCACTACCGGAGCACCGGCGACTATGTCCACCGGCTCCGGGGCCAGCTTCTAAATCCACATTAGACACATCTACACTTGTCATTTTCAACAACCCAAAAATCAAGAAAAATCAAAACTTTGAAAGATTTCAACTTCCAAGATTCAATTCTCAACAACCCCACAACCAAGAAAAGCATTAAAACCATAAAAATCAAAACTTTGAAGTATTACAACTCCCAAGATTCAATTTTTTTTGTTACCCTTTATAGTGCTGCATGATTTAAGGCCCCATTACCTCATTTCTTGGTCTATTAGTAAGGTGATGGATTAGGTAAACCATTAACACCCCATTTTCTAAAATTTAGCAGAAAAGCAAAAGCAAGAAGAGAGAGAGTAAAAATGTATAGTTTCAAGTGTTTATAGAAAGTGATGAGAAGGCTTAAGGAGGAAAAAAACAAGAATGTAAAAGGGAGAGAGCTCATGGTTCTGTTAGAGTAGCTGTGTGACAGTATTTAGGAAGAAATGGCCCACCTTTAAGATATCATAATCATTCTACTGTAGTTGGTGAGGTAATCTCTGTGATTTTTATTTATTTTTTTCAAATAAATTATATTTAAATCAAGTCATGAAATTTTTATGACTAAAAGAAAAATAAGAGGATTATCTTTTAAAATCAGATGAAAAAGGAAAGAAATCTTACATAAATAGAATACAATAATTGTCTATTTGTTTTAATTTGTTTGTTCGATTAACACCATGAGATTGAATGTCATTTTGATACGTGTTATATATCTTTAATTTAAGACTATAAAATTTAAATTTATTTATTTATTTTTAAAATTTTTGTTTCAAGTCAAAGCATCACAAATAAAATGTAATAGAAGAAGTAACAAGTAACTTTGTATTTTAAAAAAAGTCATCTATTTCTTAACTTTTCACCTGATATGTTTAAGAAC